AGGGCCAGCTTGATTCTATGTTGTTCTTTTTATATGTAATCAAATATTTGCACACAATCACCGAGTGCTGTGCCGATGTGAACTCGAGCAGATGTTTGGGGATTGTGTAACTGCACTTTTGATACTTTCATAACAATCATGGTGATTTACATTTGCACTGCTGCCAGTGCGAGGGAAGTGTTTTTCTCTTCCTGAATGGCCAGAGGCACTGACACTTTATTACCATCTGCTTTTTTTATTTATTTAAAAAAAATGGGGGGGGGGGGGGGGGGGGCAATTTATTTATTTATCTGCTGTTCTAAGAACTTTCATACTGAAGACAAAACAATATATGAATATTAATAGAAGATAGAGCATGATGATTTAAGATTTTTGGTTATAAAATGCAACGTGCATAGTAGATTAAAGTGATTAAGATTAAGATTTTTTTTGATGCAGGTTTCTTTGAGAAAGGGTTTAAACAATGAGCATCTATTCTTAGTTTGGGGAAACAGACATAATGAGTTAGTAATACATTCAAATGCATTCAAAGGTTATTTCATATATATTTTGACACTTAAATACATTTTCATCACATGATTATTTATTCAGAGTTCAGTGGTTACTTGCAGCAGAAATTAGTTGTGGAATTTGCTACTGTAGCACCTCTGGCTTTAACATTACAGTACTTCTACCGGAATAACATCTGATACATATGGTGAAGTAAAGGTTATACTTTAGCATTTGCATAAACATCTATGAGTTTAGTTGTTGGATTTGTTTGAAGAAAATAAAATTCACGTCAAGAGATCGGAACAAACATTTTATCTGGAGTTTTCAGAAATGATGTATGTTTTTTTAGAACTTAGAAAGGGTGATTATCTGACTTAATTCTTTGAAATAATATAAGTGACGCATCAGTTTTTTTTTGTGCTAAGCCCCTCCCTCGTCCCGGTGCAATTTCACGTGACCCAGCTCAGCATTGGCTAATAGAGGTAGACATCCTCTTATGTACAAATGTCAGTCACAGAGTGCATGCGCATTTGCGGGATTCCTAGACCGAACAGTGTTTTCTAGCTATTTAAAAAGCTGTGAAGAAATGGCAAATCATTAAGCAGTTACAACCGCCTTCACACCCATAAAACATACCAACGCCAAGACTGCCTGTTTCTACTCATAGACAGACACAGCACTGACAGAACTCAAAGACCAGCCGATAATTTACCTTGGACGTGTTTTCAATGGTGGAATAATCATCCAGAGACTTGGTGCATCTCTCTCGCTGCCGTTTGAGCGTGACGAGCACGTTGCATAACCCAGCCTGCTCAAATAACATTATTTTCTGGCCCAAATCTGACTCAGCTCTTTGGGCTTACTCAGTTTGGGTTCGGTCTCAGGTTAGAACTTCAGTGCTCAGCCCTGCAACACCACGAGGCGGATCAATGTTTACTCTGTAAATTTGGAGGACACATCCCACTCTGACAAATTTGGATGTGACGCTGGTACCGTGGTAAAAAAAAAAATACCGCATTCCACTATAGTCAATTATGGCTTGCTTCTTCTACAGTTCAGAATAGTTTGTCCGCATCTCAATGCACCGATTGCATTATTATTATTATTATTATTCAGCTCTAATACTTACCCAACTCAACAGCTCAAGCTATTCATATTCGTGTTTATTGAAGTTTAACATACTTAAAGACAAAGTTACTTCGAAAGGGAAAATAAGCTAAAGGTAAATCAAGCTTTCTCACTCCTGTTCAATGAGTTTCATGGCTGTCGCCTCTTACAGATCAGCACCAGACAATTCTAGATGACGAGCAACAATGAGTCATACACAGTACGTTGATGAGGAGATAAACACATTTCTACGTAATCTCAAGATGCTGGGAATTTAAAAATTAGATAGAGATTTTTTTAAACTGAATATTTGTTTCTAGCTTACCGTTAGCAATGTTAGCTCAACATTTGCCTTTAACGTTCTTCGCCTGATATTAGAGTAAAACAAAAAGATGCTGTGGCTTCAAGAAATAACTTCTGGACTGCTCCTTTTGAGTTAACATGACTCGGTAACCCCACAGGCTTAAAGATTATTAAAAGTAACTGAGTCCCTCTTTAGCTATTTTAAAGTGGGAAATCTGACTGGTTTGAGATCATTTCACTGTACAATTCTTCCTTATTGTACTTTAACACACAGAGTGGTGGCTGAATGACTTTCTGATCAGGCAAAACAAGACAGAAAATGGACTGATACTCTGCCACTGTTACTGCTGTCACCAAATTATGAATTCTCATGTTTCACCGCTTGAGGACAAGCAGAAAAACACAAAATCAAATTTGTAAATTGTCTAAGTAAACCACACAAAAATACTTCATTACTTGGCTCAGAGCAGCATGGTAAATTACAGGAAATAGGGCCAAAATCTGCTTCGTGTTACTAAGCGATGCATCAAGAAATGGATTTGCCACGGATATTTTCAAAGGTCACTCTGCTGAGCCGTAATCTTATTTAAACTGAATGAAATAAACATATCCATGGGAATTGTACATAGTTGTGTCTGAAGGGTGAAAATTGATTATCTCAAAAGCTTGGGCACAAAGATCATGCATGCAGCATGAAGACACTCCATTTCTAAAGGAAAATTATTGCTTTTTTAAATCATCATTATTTCTTTTAGAAATGGCTTTGAAAAAATAAAGTTTGGAGCAGTTGACTTCAGCCTTGCAGCTACACAGTAAAAACCTCATAAAAAAGTCCTCTTCTGTACTTGTGAGGACTTTTAATGTCAACATTTTGCTATGTCTAGTGATATCTTGCATTTGTGCTGCAGATGAGATCAAATTAAGCAAACTCAGCAGAGGAAAATATTCATTAACCCTAACCCTCCTCTCAATAATATAAAGACACATTTCCTTACTACCAGCTCCTCGTTTCAAACTTATCAGCCGTTATTGGATTAATTGAAGCAAGGCTGCCATGGCAACGGGTCCAGTGCAAATAAACTCCAGTTGTCACAATGGCTACTGTTTTCATATTGCTTTAATTTCTGCAGAGTGTAGATTCTCTGATAAAAAACACTTTTTTGTTACAGTACAACAAAGCTGGTATCTAGGATAATCATTCATTTATTGGCTGATAAAATCTAAAAGACTCGAGTAAATTTAATTGTGAAGATTATTTATTGTTCCTATCGATTGTCTCTCTCAGTCTGATTGCCTAACACAACTATCAAATGTGTCTCACGTTTCCCTTTCAGCTCGATAAATTTCCCCATAAAATGTTCTATTTGCTCGTTAAGCTTTTAAAGGAGGTCGATTGTGATGCAGGGACAGAAAAAACAACTGACAAATATGTTATAATCAAATACAGTACAATCCCTCTGAAGTCATCAGTCTGCAGAGTAGAGTTTAGGTCAATTCACTGGTGGTTTAGTGGGGTTCAAAGGGGCGGGTGACAATGGAAAAAAAATGTCTGCATCAGATTCAACATGTTTCACATGTTTTCTTTTTTCTTTTCTTTTTTATTTAGCTTCTTTTAAGATAATTGATGATGGAAATCAACTAACGTTTTGGAGATGGCAGCTACAAGAATAATGACTTGAAAAATAGAACAATTGTTAAATCAGGCTTTAGTGTACCTCAGACTGCATGTTGGTTTGAGGTATTTGCCCTGATTTTACTCATGTTGTACAGCGCTTTGTGATTCATATCTGTGAAAGGTGCTATATAAATAAACTTTACTTACTTACTTACTTACATATTCTAATTAAAAGTTCTAATGGCATTTGGGGAAAGAGTGTGGAAGTGCGGAACATGGCCACTGTGTAGCGCCTTCCTGATGGTAGCATCTGGACCTGGATATAACCAGGGTGGGAGGGTCTTTCAGGAGGTTTTCTGCTTTTCCTGCAGCAGGGGCACTATTGCCCAGACCCCAGAAGATTTTCATTCAGCAATGCTGATTGGCCAAAATTTCTCCTGTTCTCCTAGTGAAATCGTTAACCTGCAATTCAGGGGCACTTTTACCAGCACCCCAAGAGAGATATTAGAGTGTCTTTTGGAGGAAATGTATTGTTTGATGAAAGACAGCTGATGAAAAAGAAGCATGAAGGGATACACAAGCAAAACTGACAGAGTTTTAGTAAATATATTAATGTAATACAGTCAATTTTACTTTTTTGATTTATTTTCCCATCAGGTAGGGTGACGCCTTAGTGCCCCCATGGAAAATTCACCAGCTTTGGTCAGCATCTTTTCAAGTTCTTTTATCATGAATAGTGATGGTTGTAATAAGACCCAAATGCAGGCGAGCAGGAAGAGGAGGCAGGCCAAATAACTATTTCACATGAATAAAGGTAGGTAGGGTGACTACAGGAAGACAAGCACAAACAGAGGGTTTAAATACCTGAGGGTAATCAGGAATCAGGTGGGTAGGATAACAAGGGGCAGGTGAGTCCAATAAACATTGAACAAGGAGGGACAGAACACTTCAGAAGGAGAAGGAGCAGATGCTGACATCTTTGACTTTTGCTCTGGGGTCATTTAGCACATTTTCAACACTAACCTGTTAATCTCTGGGACAACTTGTTAAACAAACACTGATAAAGAAATATGTGACTTTTTCCTTAGCAAATAAAGTAATGATACTCTTTCCAAATGACATGAAACAATAAAGGTTTGGTCTGATTTAGCTTCCGACGGTGTGGAAAAATGTATCTTACTATTGGTGTACGTAAACTTCTGGTGTGTGTTTAAATCTCACACTCACTCAATATGTGATAGGCTGAACTTGTGAAAACTCTTGCTCCTCCTGCCCTTTGCTGGTGTTCAGCGCTGTGTCTGTGCTCACAACTTAAAGTGTGAGTAAAGGAACCACACCACAGGAGAATTGCAGAAAGCAGCTTCTGTGGATTGCAGTTCGTTTGGGATATTGACACATCTTTGGAGAAGGAACTTTACTGTTGGATTGGAGGAGCATGAATATGAAAGCCACAGTGTCATCAATAGTAAATATTTTATCATCAAAAAAAGGGAAACGCATCACGATTTTGTGTGTCATCACACAGGGCACCTTGCTAATCTTCTCTGTATCGATTCCTATTGGGCATATGTCCTTTGAGGTCTGAAGATACAAGGCTTTCCCAAAAGCAGAGGTGGAAAGTAACAAATTACATTTACTCACGTTACTGTAATTGAGTAGCTTTTTTGTAAATTTATACTTTTTAAGTTGTTTTTAAAAGCTGTACTTTTACTTATACTTGAGTAAGTTTTTAAAAAGGAATTGTAATTCGCTACATTTTAAATCATATCTGTTACTGAGTAAAAACAAATTATAGGCTTAATAAATTAAAAATATTACGTGTAGCAGCGTCGGAACAGAAAGAGACACCTGCATGAGCGCCGCGTCTAAACCGTGGGGCGGGGGGGGGGGGGGGGGGGGTTGGGGGTGTACACTTTAGCTCAAAGACATCAGTTCAGTTCCTCAACTCGCTGTTCACCTCCTCTCTCGCTCCTCTCCTGTGTGTTAGATCCCGCACCTTCGCGCACCAGTGTGACGTCATCAGAAATCTGCTCGGTTTGGTAGCTGCACTCGGTTCCGTGTTTGAATTGTGTTTCTCTACCGCTCCGCATGGAAGCAGCAAAATAACGTTTAGCACTTATAGCAAGCGGATTATCAGCGCTCTGCTCATAAAACAGAAGACCTGCAGACCTCTGTGAGATAAAACATCCTGATACTGTTCAGGTGTAAACATTGTGCTCCATCCCTGTGTTTGAACTCAGAAGTTGCTTCTTGATGCCACAGATATGTGATGATTTAGCTTGTTTCTTTATTTTACTCCAGAATAAGAGATTAAATTATTACTAAAGCAGTTCAATGTAGTTAAATTAGTCATTCAAAAGATTGTGTGTGTGTGTGTGTGTGTGTGTGTGTGTGTGTGTGTGTGTGTGTGTGTGTGTGTGTGTGTGTGTGTGTGTGTGTGTGTGTGTGTGTGTGTGTGTGTGTGTGTGTGTGTGTGTGTGTGTGTGTGTGTGTGTGTGTGTGTGTTTGACTGTTGTTTGTGTGTTGACATGTTTGTGTATGACTGTGTATGTCAGGTGGGGCCATGACTCCTCCCTTCTCCTGGGTCTTCTTTTGGTGATATAAATCTTCGTCTCCCCTCTCCCTGCCACACCTGGTGTGGAGTGCGGTGCCTTGGTCTGCCTGGGTCGTGGCTCCCGGGTCAGGGAGTTTAAGAATTTTTGGCATCTGCCTGACCAATCCCGGTGGATTCCTGGTGGGATCTGGGTCCCTGGGCTCTGCTGGGTCCCCATCAGGGGTGGTTGCCCCTGGATCCCGGGCTTGGCCGGCTAGGGGGTGGGAGGCTGCGGGCGGGCCTGTGGGCTTGCCGCCAATATCTCCCGGGACTCTGCCAGCTGCTGGTTGTGGCCCCCCGGGGCGATTCTCTGTGCCTCTCGAGGGGGGCAGGGGCTTTTCTGGTCAGTCTCCCTGGGGTTCCTGTGCTCTTGGGCAGCTCCTGGATCTCTGGGACTTAGAGCTCCCTCCATCTCCTGCACATCTTTAGGGGGCAGATCTGTGGCCCCTCACACTCTCTATTGGACGCTCCTATAGAGAAACCTTACATAAACAAGCATGTGTACACACACAGGTGCTCACATGGTGCTCTCATAAGTATGGACTTGGGCACGTTCAACACAGGTCTTAAGGCTATGGTGGGCACTTAATGCACTGTGATTTATTATCGTGTGATTGTTCAGTTAAACAATGTTGATTATATAGTTCTTCATCAAGTTGACACAGTGATAGCTTGATCTTGTTGTATGTTGTTGTGTCCTTTTTTTTTTTGTTTTCTTGCTTCTTTTTCTTCCCTCTTTCTGCAGGCCTCGAAGCAGATTCTTGTTCATTATTGTTTATTTTTGTGCCCTCCCCCCTTGTCTCTTCCTTTCTCTTTCACCTCTGTCTCCGTGTCCGGTTGGAATTACAAATCATTCAAAAACAATAACAATAAAGTTTTAAGTATCAGGCGTGACTTTAAAAGCAGACGCTTTGATGCTCCACCTGAGAGTAAATCTGTAAGTCTTGTCACCAGCATTCAGACATCAATTCTGTTTGCTTCACAGCCAGACAGGACATACACACAAAAAAAAAGATTTCCTACCACTGAAGTGGTCTGAAAACCCGGTCTCTCTGAGGGATGTGTCACTTGGAAAAATGTTCTCTGATTATGAAACTTTGGCTGAATACCGCTTGTTCCCGTCTCCAATATGGAGATGCATGACACATCCAGTCTGTCTGAGGCAGAATAGCCTCTTCAGCTCAGAAAGCACCTGTAGAGACATTTGATCACACACAAAGTTTATGTGGAGCAGAAGCGGTCGGGCCACGGCAGGTGAAATGTTCTTAGCCTACATGAAGTGAAACTGTTTAACTGTAACATTAACATGTTACTGGACATGCTGGTCTGGTTGGTTAGACCAGTGTTTGAAGTGGAAAAAACACACACACACACACACACACACAAACGCTCATCCACCAATTAAAATAATGCTGATAGCGTGGACTAGAAGACAGGTGATGGTTTACGTATTTAAATGATGATCAGGCTGCTGTAAAATGTAATCTCCATCCACATCCAGACAGAATTATCCTCTATTCTTTCTCCATTTTCTCTGCTCCTGTCTGGGCTGACGTAGCTGACGGTGCGCACGGTGCGCCTAGCGGCTGTGATGCACATTTTACACATTTGGAGAGGTGGGCTGGATGCTTTGCTTTTACTGGAAGATGGATTTTTTTTTTCAAAAACATCAGAGATTTTGCCCCCTGAATAACAACCGTAGGAATAACCGTAAAATCCACCGGTTGTCACGAACGTGCGTGCCTGGTGAGTGGAGCAGTGATCAGATGAGGATCCAAACGCGGGGAGGAAAAAGGCAAACAGGTAAGTCCGTTTAACATAAGTTTATTTGAACACACACGCTGGACACTGAAACAATGACTCGACATGGAACACAGAACAGAAAGGGTTTAAATACACGAGGAGTGGGAGCTATGGTGATTGGGAAACAAGAGGCAGGTGGGAGCAATTAACGGAGACACAGACTAAAACCTGAGAGAAGACAGGACAGGGTGTGACACCAGTGTGCATGTACCCTTATGAAAGAGTCCTACGTTAAGAGGTAAATATTAGAAGCGCAGGTAATGCATTCTGGTGCCGGTCCACTTAACCCACGGGTGTAGACTAATTATTAATGAAAAATGAATGAAAGTTAAATTGGGAGTTTTTACTTCATATTTTAGAAATAAAAATGACGGGGGAACACATTTATGACGTCTTTTTAAATGAAATTTTCTTGTGTGAGCTGCCTGCTTCTCTTAAGTCACTGCTTATTAAGGCCCGTCCAGAATTACCGTGTCCCACCCAAAAATGAAAATCTGGCGCCGCGCCTGTTATAAACCTCTGCAAACTGTTGTTCTTCACTTTATCAAACTCAGACTTTGTACAGCTAATGTCAAGATGGAAAATTATGAATTCAGTCAAGCTCTTCCCTCCCTCCCTCTCCTGCTCTCCTTGAAAGCCGACATCGGCTGTGAGAAGAGGGAGGAGAAGGAGATGAGGCAAACAGAGTGAGTGCGACGTAGAAAAACCAGACATGTGTGGAGGTGAGCAAAACGGCTGGAAAAGTGTGGGTGTTGAATGATCTCAATAAGAAAAGTGTGGGTGTTGAAACCCCCACATCCCCCACGGGTGTGACGCCCATGAAGACACCTCTCGTGTATCCTTGCTCAGCTAGCTAAACGGCTAACAAACGGAGAGCACACGCCTCGGTAGAACAGGAACATTGGAACACGTCTTGGCAGCTCCCGATGACATATCTCCTAGGCAACCGGGGTGGGGCCAATACATCAAGGCAAGGTTCCTTGGCATTGAGAAACACCCTAAGTATCACGGGGTCTTTGTTCATGGGTGAGGGAAAGATGGAGCACAAGATCGATATACGGATTGGTGCTGCGTCTGCAGTGATGAGGGCGTTGTACCGATCTATCATGGTGAAGAGAGAACTGAGCTGGAAGGCGAAGCTCTCGATTTACCGGTTGATCTACGTTCCTACCCTCACCTATGGTCATGAGCTTTGGATAGAGACCGAAAAAACGAGATTGCAGATACATGCGGTCAAAATGAGGTTTCTCTGCAGGGTGTCTGGGCTCTCCTTTTGAGATAGGGTGAGAAGCTTGGTCGTCCAGGAAGAGTAGAATAGATCCACTGCTCCTCCACGTCAAGAGGAGCCAGTTGAAGTGGCTTGGGCATTGAGTTAGGATGCCTCCCTGGTGAGGTTTTCCGAGCATGTCCAACTGGGATGAGACCTAAAGGAAGACCCAGGAAACACTGGAGGGAGTATGTCTCTCGCCTGGCTAGGGTACTCCTTGGATATTCCCCAGAGGATCCATGCTTTCGTTCTTTTTTAAACACAGAAACAGTTTTGTTTACTTGTTTGTAGCTACGGTTTCGCCGACAGCTGCCGGCTTCTTCAGGCTGACGCTGATGGTGGCGCGTCACTTCCTTCTCCGTTTATCTGCGGGCAGCAGAGGACGTTGTCGCCCTCTACTGCCCGCTCTCCCCTCTCCGACGATGCAGTCCCATGCGTGGTCCAGCGTGTAAACTCTGTCGTCCCTGTTCATGGTCCCACATCCACGTCTCCTTATCTCGATTGCTTCCTTGATCCATCTTTTGTATTTTTGTTGTTCAGTGGTTATGATCCGTGTGCTGTCCCAGTCCATTATATGGTTTTCTCTTAAGCAATGATCTGTTACGGCTGACTTTTTTATTGTACTTTCTGCTTCTTCTTTTGCTGCTCTTGTGTGTTTACGATTTGCCTCTTTCTCGCACTCCTTTCTGTGTTCTATTGTCCGTGTATTGAGTTGGCGTCCGGTTTCTCCTATGTATGTTTTATTGCATATTTTGCATGGGATTTCGTAGATGACTCCACATTTTTGTCCAGCTGATATTTTGTCTTTTGGGTGTACTAATCTGTTTATAACTGTTGTGTATGGCTTTGTTGGTGTGTTTATGTTGTGTTTTTTCATTGTTGCTCTTATTTTTTCCGTTATGCCTCTGATGTATGGTAGGGTTATC